TGTGACTCTTTCCTAGTGAAGAACATAGTTTTGAGGTTGTCTTACCTTGACTATCAGTTTAGCTTCCTCTCTAACATTTTTGTCAATTTTTTCTTCTATCGGGGATGCGTATCAACAGCTGCCTCAGTGCATTGGGTTATGTATCAATAGAAGTCTCATAGGTGGTATTGGGTTCTACTCTAGATATTGATTATCTTCTCTTTATGGTTTGTCTTGGTTATTGTCACACTGTCTTGGCTTTGCTTTGGTATCTGGCTTCGGTGTGTTACCTCGTGTGCGTATGCAGCTCTGTTTCATCCTGTTGATGCAAGGGTTCCTTCATCGGGTCATTTTGTGGATGGTTAGCGTTTGGCTCCTTTGAAGTGTGGTTTGATTGGATCTTCGTAGTTCGGGATTTAGTTTGTGTTCTATAGGTTTAGGTCTATGCTTGATTTTATAGTGTTTGACTCCGATGTCGTTCCTGTTGACATCAGCTTTATATTTCATCCTCGTATTCCACAGTCGTATCCCATCCTTGTATTCTAAAATCGAATTTCACCTTGTTTAATATAATATTTTCAGAGAAAAAAAAAACCAAAATTAGCATATGTGACATAATTTTGTCCATTAAATTTAGATTAAATAGTTAAAGTTTTAGTAATAGTTTCTTTTTTGGTTGTTCAAACCAATTTCCTTTCTGTTTAACTACATTTAAAAATTTTAAGGTTCATACATATAAGTACATAATGTAAAAGATTCTACATGATGGCTCTTCTATCCACTTATGTCATTATTTTGGTATATATAGTCGTGACCAATTTTAGTCGGACCTGTTTAGAAGGAATCAAATTAAGATTGAATAGATTTTTAGTTTGGATTAGGCAGTGTGATTGAAAGATTACAGAATCAGATAACCAGTATGGGATGAAGTGCTAATTGTAGAGAAAACTACATTCTTTACGCGGGCGTTCCTATCCAGTGGGTCCGCCTTCTTGTTCATTCCCCGAGGACAATACTTAAAGTAAAGTCTGGGAATACCGTCCGTAATGTCTTTAATTCATCCAGCTCGATTTGGAACTGCGGCCAATTGGGCGGCTTTGACACCATAGAGACCAGCTCCTGGGAATCTGTGGCGAACGTCGCACAGTATCGATTTTTCTTCTTTAAGCTCTCCGTTGCCCACATGAGACTATGCATCTCCGTGTGAAGTGGTGACATACTGTTGCGCATCCCTCTTGCTCCTAAGAGATCTGTTTCCCCATCTCGTAGTTGCATGACCCATCCTAGTCCACTCGTGGTTTCACCATCCTTCCAAGATCCATCCACGTAGCATGTGAACACTGCGTTAGTCAAAACTAGGGAGAGGGGCTCTGTATCCGGCGGATCCATTACTGCCACCTCATTGGCCTTGAACCATTCATCCGTCTCTTTGCTGGCTATGTCTATGATCCCTTGT